CTGGGTGCATGGTGGGTCCCGTGGGCCTCAGGAGTCTCCCTGTCCCCCAGGATCTGAACTGCCAGGAGGAGGAGGATCCCATGAACAAGCTGAAGGGGCAGAAAATCGTCTCATGCCGTATCTGCAAGGGTGACCACTGGACCACCCGATGTCCCTACAAGGACACCCTGGGGCCGATGCAGAAGGAGTTGGCTGAGCAGTTGGGGCTGTCCACAGGCGAAAAGGAGAAGCTGCCTGGAGGTACAGCACCCCTTTATCCTGAGATAGGGAGGGGAAAGGTGGGGGCCATCTGCCTGTGGACAGCCTCACCTCCTCCCTGTTGCCTTTCCTGCCATCAGAGCCGGAGCCGGTGCAGGCTCAGCAGAGCAAGACGGGCAAGTACGTGCCCCCCAGCCTGAGAGATGGAGCCAGCCGCCGCGGGGAGTCCATGCAGCCCAACCGCAGGGGTAAGTCAGGCCTGTCCTTCGGGTGGGAGCAATTTCTCTGCGCCCCACCTGCCCCGGATCTCAGCTGCACGTGAAGCCAGGCCTCCACAGTGCTGTGTACAGCGCACAGCCTCGACCTTCCTCGTTTTTCCCCCCCGCAGCTGATGACAATGCCACCATCCGTGTCACCCACCTGTCCGAGGACACGCGTGAGACTGATCTCCAGGAGCTGTTCCGGCCCTTTGGCTCCATCTCTAGGATCTATTTAGCCAAGGACAAGACCACCGGGCAGTCCAAGGTGGGCACGGAGAGATTTTCCCCTTTAAGGGGGGCTGAGGAGGAGACCCCTCCACTTTTTCTCACCCTCTCACTTCCCTCCCACTCCAGGGGTTTGCCTTCATCAGCTTCCACCGCCGGGAGGACGCAGCCCGGGCTATTGCTGGGGTCTCTGGATTTGGCTACGACCACCTGATCCTCAACGTGGAATGGGCCAAGTAAGTGCCAGGGGGTGGCTTGGAGGATTGGGGGGCGGTCCATGCTCTGTCCCTGCCAGGGGCTGGGGGGCCACCTGTGGCCACCCCTCTCCTTACTGCCCTCTCTTCCTCCTCCGCAGACCCTCCACCAACTGAATCCGGTGCCACACCGGCTCCCAGCAAGAGCAGTCGGTGCTTCTAAATAAAGATGCACGGTCTGGTATGCACCAAGGTGTCAGTCTGAGCTGGGGAGGGGGTTCACCAGGCAGGGAGCAGCCCCGTTTCTGTCCCCAAGGCTGTCCCCAACTCACCCCCACCCCAGGCACACGCTGGGGATGGCAGTACCC